TTCGGTTATTCTAAAGCAACGTGAAGAAGACAACATTTTCAAAAACATCTTCAACATCATAACATCAAACCCACGTCAATCTTACCTGCGAGGCACAGAACAACCACACAAAGGATCGAAGGTGGAAATGCTTTCATCGCCAAGATAAACAAATGCTGCTCTGCTTTTGATGTGTCTGGGTAATTCAAGCTTAGTCGTACACTTCTTTAGAATCTGGACGAAATGGTTCGAAAACGAGCATACAACGAAATTTGGCTCGAAAACATTTCCCAGAAAAATAGCGTTCAAAACTTCCGTTCTTAAAAACCATTGGCAGAAATATTGGACAAGATGGCGGCCGCGCTTGCGCATTTTGCCCATAATGGCGTCCAACTAATATAAGAACCTGTAGGGAAATTTGTAAAATTTCTGAAATATAACAATCAGGAGCTCAGGGTCCCGTCCGCTCTCGATCGAGACATATTCAGTACTGATTCTGCTATTCATCAAACCTCTCAGTGACTCGATAAATAAAAACCACTTACTTCCCGAGCCAGTTCTTTTGTCATTGTCCATTGACCTAAGTCGCCCTACAGTTCTTCAAAATCCGTCGTTCTCCATCCCAAACACTCGCCTATTACAGGAAAGTGCATCGATGAAGTCAACTGCTCTCGATCGAATTGACTGCTACTGAGTTCGAAGCGTCCAAATATCCTAAAAAATTGCCATTTCCTCCTATCAAAAAACTTCCCAACGCGCCAGAATATCCCTTATTTTTCATGCTGAGTAAGTGACGAGACACCATGTTGAAAACTATGACTGAAATGGTTTAACACGTGCAAAGCTGATCTTCGAATCGTCGGCCATATTTCTTTATGTTCTTGCTGGTAAATAAATTAGTTCTCAGGTCCTTTTATGAATAAAAATATGCCAGGCGTTGAATGCAAATTCAGTCATCTTGGCGCGAAAATTTAATAAAAGCAAATCAAAATTCTGACATCATGTCATCGCTCTGCCTCGAAAAATCCCAAAGATGTACTAGCGGGTCTTCTTTTTTTTTCTTTTCATCAAATAGAAGATCTGTGGTGCTCAAATTGGGTAAGTCATGGTACGAAACACGCTTATTTGAGGATCAAGCCCTGATCGCCGCCCTATTGAATTCTCTTGATATACTATTGTTCCGGAGTGTAATACGTTATACCGCTGATAATTGTTAGCGGGCCCGAAATGTCCTTGATTTCTGGCGATGATATGACGTGTCCGCGAAATTATTTGCATTCGTTTAAAAGCAGATTCCCCCCCCCTCCCCCCTTATTGGCGGTTAATGGTCGGTCAATTTTCTAAATAAATAAAGGAGGTAAGTTTCTAAAGAAACTGTGGTGATGCTTCGGTGGGAGAGTATAACAGGGTGATTTTGTATTATCTACTAAGTTGATAACGTAAATTGGTCACCGTTTCGAGCGTCATAAACCCTAAGCACAATCCGCAATTTCTCCAATCACCCTGACGAAGGGCTAACGCTCGAAACGTCAGCCTTTTAACTCTTTACAGTGGCCAATTTACGTTATAAACTCGGTTGATAACACTGAGAATTACCCTGTAATTTTCTAAATATACCACTTTGTATTCTGTTGGCGGCGACTGATCCCCTTCCGTTCACCATGAAAACCAAGTATTTGATTCGTACTGTTACAATTTTCATCTGTTTGAATTCTATAGATTGGTATTTAACAGCCTCGTGGAAGGCTACTGCTGAGCGTGGTGCTTGAGAAATGAGTTTCGATTTTATACGATTCTCTTGTTATGATTTTCAAGAAATCTTTACTATGTTCTGTAAATCTTTGCTCTTGAACAGTTATAATAGCGAAGCTCGCAGAGCGTAGCCCCATAATTTTACAAAATAGTAGTAACCCATCAAGCCGAAAAAATTTGGATGAACGACCGTACGACCGACCGTTTAAGGTACTACTTTTAGCATGCGCGGCTAACTGTACCACGGGCACTATCTTATAATCAGTCCTCTATACGGACACAAAGAAGTTGCGGATGAAAATCCATTAATATTACCACGCACTTTATCCACAGTGGGGGCTTTAGTTTTATTGAAGAGACGTGCGGGAAAAAAATGCGAGCTCCGCTTTTAGGCTTGCCTCAATCTATATATTATTCTATTGTGCTCATGAAATTGATATTACTGAAAGACGTGCGGGCCATGTGTATATTCTATTGTACTTATAAGGTGATATCACTGAAAGACGTGCAGGCCATGTGCATCGACAAGAACAAATTTATTTTCTTTTTGACGGAGTGTCTGCCATCTGCACGACACAGTGCTATTCAACGCAGGAAGTATGTTATGGCCAGCTATTGAATAGTCTGTGAAAGGTGGGCAAACCAAAGTAAAAGGGGACAACCACAAGGCCTTACGTTGAGTAATTTTTGAGTGGAACTTACCGATATCATGGTGGATTCTAAACAATCAAGAGAATATATTTCAGGAAAATATAGGCCCAGGGTCGATAAGTCCCTTATCACTTCTTTGCCATAAAACGTTGACTCTTGCGCGTGTGGAAGACTTGACTTGGATTCCCTCATAAAAGAAAAAGGGAAGAGCGTATTTAATATCCATGAGAAAGCTTCCATGTCTGGAGGATGAACCTTGATCATTTCCATTTTAGGAAACTGATACAGTAAAGCTACATAGAAAACTTTGTTTTTTTACCGCAGCTCGGAAAGTGAAATCAGAACTGCATCTCCTGACCCAGTTGACCAGCTCGTCACAGATTTTTGTGTGTTAAGTCATGTTCCCATATCACTGGAACACTGTAAAAGGAAAATGGTAGCAGCTTGAAGGTTGTAATTTCCTTTTATGAAGCGGCCTTGCTGCCAGACAGTGTGTTACTTTCACTTTACCGAATTTGGAACTTGACCCAATGCAAATATCGAAGAGCAAAACACTGCTTCAGTTGACTGATTCAAAGTCATGACCAATGATTTCCGTCACAATTCTAAGAAAAATGTAAACAAATTAACCTTTGGGTCAACATGGCTAAGAGGGTATACCAAAATAACCGGATCGAACGGCTGACTGACGTTCTGCGGAAATGTAAACGAGAAACCGTCTAAAGTCCTTTTTTTTCCCTCGAAACATGGTTGCTTTCCTTTCTGCCCACTTATACCTGCTCCATTGGCGATCATATGTGCTTAGGGATATGTTTGAAGACATTAAAACAACACTTTAAGAGTGTGGATAAGCTACCACTTCCTTGCTTATCAAGTTTATATCCGACTGATCGACCGTTTGAGCTAAATGCTCGGTAACAAAGAGTGACTGTTTTTGTCGGAGAATCTGAACTTGCCACAAGGAGCACCGGATAAACTCACTGACGGCTGAATGAACAAAATGTACCGATGGCCGAAAGAAGTCCTTTTTGTCTTTTGTCTTTTTGCAGTAACAGGTAAGCGTAGGTGTATGATATAGTAGCTAATAGTTTGTATTTATTCATTTAGAGTTAAGGAAATTAATTCGTTTCAAAGCGACCTCACCCCAAAATCATGAGGTTTCGATCTGTAGTTAAGCTATCCAATCTATGTAATCTAATATTTGCAATTTTGTTCACTATTAATTGAATAACAGGTTCCTCAAGCATTCAGCACAAGAACACTTAATACTTGTAAAAGGGAATGTATTTAGTAAGTTCGAGGCGGATTTTTCGCACTGCATCTAGCCATCAAAAGCAGCTTCCTCTTCCGCTTTGTATACATGAAATTCAGTAAATCGAAATGTTCATGCAAGTATGCCGAATCAGTATTTA